TCGGCAGCTTTTGTGCAACAGGAGAACAAACAAACGAAGCAGGCAGCGCTGTTCTGGGAGAGCAGGGCTGAAGGGGCCGGCCCCAGCTGGTCACCGTGTCCCCGGAGAAACAAAAAATGCTCCCTTGGGCTGCATCCGCCCCTGGCTCAAGGGTGGGGTTGCATCTCCTGGTGAGAGAGGACCCGCAGACCCCAGGGCTGGTCCAGGAGCCTGGGCAGAGCACCCCGCGCCCTGCCAGAGCCTTCACTCAAATACAAAGGTGGGTGCGTCTGTCCTCAGCCCATAATGGCTTGTAATAAACCGACAGCAAGCCTAGGGTATGCTTTGGGCTTCTGAGAATTCAGACCTGATTAACCTCCAGGTCGTTACTTTTTAGCTCCTCTCCATTTTTTATGTTTAAATTGTAGAAAACTGAAGGCAGCAACAGGACCTAAATGAATCAGTGTTACTCCAGCCTGTATTACTTTGAGAAGAAAACCAGAATTGGGTTATAAGAGCTCACTATTACTGAGCTACTGAAATACCCTGAAAGGCAACGAGAAGCTACAAACCCCACAACAGTCAAGACATCTAAAAACCAGCAAATTGCAAGCAGCGAGGCTGTCTGCGTCCCCCGCTGTTCCTGGGCAGTCAGCGGGAGGGCTCCTGCTCAGGCGCTTTACAGGATTAGCAGAGCAGATGTTTTTATTTTAAGCACCCAAAGCCAGTACTAGCAAAAGTGTTAAAATACTTTGTCAGTGTCTTGAGCATTTCTGCAAAATAATTTATGAACGTTTGTTTTTTTTTTCAGTAATGAACTTACTTAACTTTCTTTTGATATTTAATTTTTGAATATATTTTTTCACAAAACTGGATTTGCTGTAGTTAATGATCATGACCCTGATTTCTTTTGTAATTGTAAATTTTATCATTTGTAAAAAAAAAAAAAAAAAATTTAGAATGTCCTTCAAAAGAAATTTACAATAAAATTTGGTTAAAAATAGACCTAGTTACCTTGACTTGTGGTTTGGTTTTTTTTTTGTCTTCTGATGTCCAGATGTAACTTGATGTCCAGAGGGCTGATTTTGGTCTGTAACACACAGTGTGCGCAGCTGCAAACCTCAATGCCTCAGTTAAAATGTAATTAAATTTCTGATTATTTTTATTTGTCACACACCAGAGCTCTAAGCATAGACCTGAATCTGCAGAGCAGCCAGTGAGGATCTGCTGTAGAACGGTAAAGGGGGCTGTGGAACCCTGCTGCATTTGCTGTTCACCTGTACTGAAGCGTGTGCTGCTGCATTTCACCATTAATCCCTTACTTTATGAGCAAAGAGGCAAAAAAAAAAAATAATCAGACTGGGGTTAGAGCCATGAACTACCAAACAGCCAGCGGATGCTGTGGCAGGCGTCGGGACCGATGGCTCAGTGGAACGGGAGACGGCCACCTCCAGCAGAAGGGAGGAAGCTGGAGCGGACGAAAGCCTCCATAGAGCTGCAGGAGGAGCTGGGAGCCCCTTCCCGGCACGGGAGCTGTCAGAGGGACGGAGCCAAGTGCCAGCAGCCTGGGGAGTCAGAGCCACGGACCGAAAGGAGATCGGAACGTGGAAAGATGCGACTTGACTTGAATGTAATTCAAATGGCTGCATGGATTGCTGGGACCTGTAGATGGCCACGTGCAGCAAATGAAAAGCCTACACCCAGAGATTAGCCCGCCTCGGAAATCAAGCCAGCTCCCCAGCCAGCGCACGGCCACACCGCTGCCACGTGGGGCGAGGTGGCTGCAGCACCGGGCCCAACAGTCGTGTTGGCATCGGGGTGAGTGCTGCACTGCAAACAACCAGTAAGCCCGACACCAGAGACAGTTAAAGCACACCCTGGAGCGTCATGGGCCAAGACTCACAACGGGTTCAGCTTACACAAGACAGCAGACAATTCCGTTTATGTCCCAGGAGCGCAATTCCCAAGCCACCTGGGAAAATGTGCGAGCTTTCTGGCAATAACCTAAACTGCCTTGCCACGGGGCATTTATACATCGCTCAAAGTGAGCCCTACCTATAGGCACCACCTTTACGCTTCCAGTAAAAGACTGGTGAGGGTACACAGAGCCCCTGCTCTGCACAAAGGTTTGTAATGCTCGTCAAGCAATTAATTTACAGTACTACAAAAAGAATCGCAAGCTCACGTTTGTTTTATGCGGCCATTCCACGGAGCCACTTGGAAAGAGGGGAACAGCATCGTCACAGGCTTGTGCCCGGTTGTGGTGGAACCTGGCAGTTCCCATGGCTGGAAATTTGTCTCTGTTCCCGAGGCACAGGGTGGGACGGCAGCAGCTCCTGTCTTCACTGGTTCACGCTTTAAATACCTAAAGCTGTTGAGCTCCAACAGTTAGAAGCAAAGTCTAAAAAAAAAAAAAAAAAAAAAAATTTCCCAAACATGAATGTTGTCAGAAGCAGCAACGAGCAGGCTTCTTGTCCGCTACTACCAAATTTAATCTGCTGGTGTTGGGAAAATCGGTGTGATCATGAAGCCTGCATGGCAAGCGTACGAGGAGCAAAACACATTAAAAAAAAAAAATGCTAGAAATAGACCATAGAATAAACCCCGCAGTGCAAATGGCCAGAGCCTAGGCAGCCGTTAGCCAGCATTTACTGACGTGCTCCCTTGAAGCCGGTGTGTGAAATATTCCTGTTTAACGAAGGGAATGGTACTGCACACACTTCGTTCTTCAGGGTGTCAGCGGATCTATGGTTTCACAGGGCTGGTTAAAGGGATAGTAATTCCCCCTGAAATATTGCAGTCATCTGTTACTGACTCGAACCACCCCCTAACCAGAAAGAAAACCAGCCAGACGTCCATCTCCTGCTTGATCTGTCCCCACACGGTAAAAGACCGTTCATTGCAGGTTAGAAAGAAACCCCTCGCATGTGCAGAGCAGCCCAGGCCTCCGGTAATTAACACACGTGGGCAAGGTAATGAGCTCAAGGTCTTCAGCACCAGCATTCGTGTGTCTCTCAACAGCTTCCAATGCCAGTGTTTAAAATGTTTCTAATGGGATCAGTGAAGAAGATTAAAAAATGGTTCTTACCATCTGTACAGCATCAGAGGCATCGGGAACTTAAAAGAGGTGGGTGGGGGGTTTCAAATAGACATCATTTCTAATGGAGGAAAGCATCTATACATAAGCAAAGCGGTACTAAACACGTGCGGTGAGTACAGGAAAATACAAAGCTGAACATAGAGCCACTGATGGGTAATATCAGACAAGAACGCTTCTTAGACCAGATCTGTAAAAACCGCAAAAATACTTCTACATCAGAAAAAGAAATGTTTGCCACCCGAGCTTGTGCCCCCGGACAAGCCCACTTTGTTTACACCTGGCACAGTTAGGATGAATCATGTTAGGAATTCCTGAGTTTAAATAAGACAAAGAACTAAATACTGCCCTAGGGACAGCGTGGTTCCTTTATTACTAGACGCAGGTAACACAGCCGCCGCCTCCCAAATTCCCCTCAAGGAGTGAGGAAGGGCACAAACTCCGGGGCTGTGCTGCCTCGCACCCCTGGCCTCAGAGGTGTGGTCAACCTCCCCTTCCAAATAAAGTCAAGGGTGATTAATGCCATTTGTGTTAATACTTTTCAGTGCCTCAAAACTGACTTAAAAAAAATAAATCCAAGAGTGCTTGTTTGTCTAAGAATCAACTGCATAAAATATTCCATAATATGGGCAGAGTAAAATAATCCGCGATGGCAAAGGATTCGCGGTGACACAGGTACCTGAGCGTTCTTCCGTTCAGCTAAGCGTGTGCAGTAGGGCTCCTCCGTACGTAATCGGGGTGACACTAAAAATTTTAAAAAGGAGGATGTGAAAGCCAAAGGGCATGGCTGGGGCCTGGATGTGTCCATGTCCATATGCCACCAGGAGGAAGTTTTATCATTGAACTCATAGCAAAGGAGATCTGAAATCCCAGCCTGACTTTATACACATTCATATTCTGAACTGTATAAAATAAAATGGAGCTATTATCTTAGACTTTAAATATTTTACTATGCAATACTAAAACCATCTGTCTTCAACACAAAAAGAAAATACAAATCCAACTGAATGGCTTGTCAGGGTAACAGTACTTTACAGAAATAGAATAGTAATGTAACACTACGGGCTTTCCCAAACGGTTGGCATTTTGGATATTAAGAGTATTTTTCTTTTGTATCGCACAGACTCAAACGCACGACAGCCATTTCCATCCACTGCAGTAAGAAAACGTCCAAGATTATATGAATAAAATAGATACATTGGAAATCAGATAAAGCTTTACAAGAATTTCCCCATGTGTCCAGAAATGCTCTCCTTTATCAAAGGCTTAATGGTGATGTGATTACTTCTTCTAGAGTAACATGTTTGACGTCAGATTGTGCCCAAATACAAAACAAAACAAAAAAGCACCACTTAGGTAAAGCAAAAATGATCACCGCGGGGTCAGCAGGTTTCGTAAGGGATGCTAAGAGTTAGATGAAATTTCTCGAGGATACTATTGCCACAGGCAAGTGTCTTCAGAAATCAGCATGGCCGTACCCTTTAACCTTTTCATTGCATTTTTGTACTTCATGACCTCACAGTCGATGTCACGGTCCAGTTAATATCTCGTTACACCAGCAAATGGTTCTTATCCAGAGCAGGATGAAGACTGTGGTTTTTCAGACAGGCTGAAGGAGCCGAGTGCCTCGCAGGC